GAGAGAGAGAGAAAGAGAGAGAGAGGTGGTTTCATGTTTGATAGAATTCAGAGGGTTACTCACCCACAGTCTGGACGTCGGTTCTGTTTGTGCATTCGCCACAGTGGACTATGCCTACCTCTGTCTTCTCGCTGTAATACGCAACGATAACTAAGACAAATGCACACAAGAAACGCAATATCATGTGAATCAAAATGAATGTGAATCAAAATGAATTGTGATCAAATGAATGTGAAATCAAAGTGAATCCAAATGAATCAATCAGAAATGTGAATCAAATAAAAGAAATATGAAAATTCTAAAATACGTGGGATTTTATCCTCCAATGTGGTAAACCTGTCAACTATAAATAGATTATGATGGTAATACTGCTGGTAGTACTAATGTCATAGATAATACCAATTTCACCAAGTATTCCATCAATATAATTCTATCAGGAGTATATGAATAAGAATCGATTTATTCAATTTAATTCGTATTTAATTCATGTACTCCTACTTCTCTCCATACTCGACGGATTTCTGATAATAATAATAATGCTATAGCTGATAATGGCTTATGATATGATAATATGATTTATATCTCACATGCAGTTTTTCATCTTAACGTAACATTCGTTGTTGTATGTGTCGCCGTCGGAGCCACACACAGGTATGGCCTGCTGGGGGCAGACAGGGCAGTCTGAAGCAGAGATTGCAGCCATTAAACACCTCATAACATACAAACAGCAATTCGTTGGCGGCATCGCGCGCAACATGTTCTATAGTCTGTAGTTGATGCACGCACGCACACCCACGCACGCACGCACGCACATACGTACGCGCAGACAGACTCACACATGCACGCACATACACGCCTGCAGAATAACATACCCATGCATACACGCACGCACATACACACGGACGGGCTCGCACACGCAAGCACATACACACCTGCAGAATAACACACCCACGCACACACGTGCACGCACAGAGTCACTTACGCACGTACATACGTGCACGCACACACGAACACACGCACGTACGCACCCACGCACACACGTGCACGCACAGAGTCACTTACGCACGTACATACGTGCACGCACACACGAACACACGCACGTACACACCCACGCACACACGTG